GAATTTAATTATGTCGTGACTCCAGTGTTTGTTCCTCGATCCACTCCCCTTCCCTATTATTACTCCATAGGGCAGCTGCTGTCTCCGGTTCCTCACTACCCAGTTGCCTGAAGCCTGCATTGCCAACTACACTACCTCATTTCTTTCATAAACAGCAGAATAAGTAAAAATCCACATTAATAAACCACTAACGTATGGGCTACAGGGGGAGAAGAAGATCTGAGATTAGCAGTTCGAATTCAACCCAATGAGGACAGCCAAGGAGCGTAGCTGAGGGAGACAATCGTTATAATTTGTTGACTAGTTTTAAATCTGCGTTGCTGATAACATTTTATGTTTAGCTGGTAGCCATATGCCCTAGCTAACATTATGAGACAAGATATGTGCCATAGTGCTCTGTAACGAAAGTACTATGAGTTGAGTATGGAGTCTTGTTAGCTGTGTGTTTTACACATTACTTTTCCAGCGTATTGCTCGTTCTTTTCCAATGGAGAAATCTTAGAGTACACTCCATGTATTCATTTTCTTTCTCAAGACACATAAAGTGTCATCTATCAACTTGATTTATATACTTTAATAAATTATTTTCTTTTTAGCAATTTGTTGTTTGATTCTAGAAACAAGGGAAAAGAAATGAGGTGATCCTGCTTGCTCATGTGCTATGTTTGTCTTCTGTTTGCTTCTTTCTATCTTGTGTTTATCAAATACTGCTATCAATTTCTCTTAGGTGAATGAAAATGAGCAACCCATTCCTCCCTGCTTCTCCTTCTGTTATCTCTCCTTTTCCTTCTGTAGGAACCTGCAAACAACACAGAACATTCACACAGCTAAAGACCAAAAGTGCAGATCTGAAGAAAATAAAACGCAACACATTTTTAGGCCGAAGCCCCGAGGTTCAGCGATCAACAAGACCGCCTAATCCCCGTTGAGCATCCACGGAGGAATAAGCTCGAATCCACTAAATCAGCCAGCCAAAACCAACAAAGTATCGATTACAACGGAACACACAGTTCCACAAATTTCGTACAGCACGACACAACAACTTCTCTACACAACAAGAACTCACACAAGAGTTCACAGAACTAAGTTTTCTCTACAAAGATCACTCAAAATCAAAACCCAAAAAATCACAAGAAAAATACAGAGAGAAAACTCAAAACGAGAAGAAGCTGCGCGAATATGAAAAAAAAAGGGTTCTCTAACCCTAGAGTCTTTTGACTCAATTAAAAGGGGCAGCTCAATCATCTCAATCCAACGGCTCACCATTCACCACGCGTTGACGATCCATAAGAGTTGTTATTTTAAAACTGAAAATGTGTTTTTGTTAAAACCAAATTGGTTCCAGATTCTTCCATTAAATGGGCTGTCAATTGGGTCATGAGCTGGGTCTTTACTTGGGCCACTTTAAGTAGCTGGGCTGGACTCCACAAAAGCAGCAACATACTTCACACCTTCCTTCTCTCACTCTTTCCCCCTGAAACAACAAAGCCATTGTAAAGAATATGTTTCAGCCATGCAATGCGAACTATAAAGGGTTCCCCACCACTATTTTATGATTCCTAGCTTAGGCTGTATACAAACACGAATTGATGACTTCAGAATAACTTAATTTCTGTCCATTTGACATTTCTAGATGCCAATCTTCGAGTAGCTATTTATCATATTTTTACCAGTTTGTTGTCTATTGGAATCCCAAGTTCTTAAGAAAATGATTTTACTGCATGCTTGTAGCATAAGGGCTCTGCTATTGAACTTGAAGCCAACAAGTAAATAGAGAGCTCTAGGAGGAAGAGTATCCTAAAAATGATGTAATGCAGTTTAAAGTGAAATGAAGACAGAATATGATTATTCTATATGACCACAAAATAACTGCCAAATTGGAATATGTGGAATGGCAATTAGGTCACATTTTGTTCTATGATAGTGACTGTTGTGCATTAAAAGACAAAATGCTAATAGGATGAATATAGCAAAAATAAAGATGTCAAGAATGCATTTTGACACTAGAACGGATATATTTAGAATGAGGATGTATGCTTAGAAGTGATTTAGCACTAATCGAGGATAAATTAAGGTGACAGTAGTATAGTCATTTGAGTTATGTCTTTTGTAAACCTAAAGCAGTTCCCACATACTATTACGTCAGAATTTTGGTAGAACATGTTAGAAAGAGGGATAAACGGACCAAAATTAACATGGCTTTAGATGGTTGCAAGATATTTGATTTTCTAGGACATTTCAAAGATATCTTTTAGTTGATCAAAATGGAGGAAATGGACTTTTATAACCAACTATAAATTTAATGGGAATAGAGTTTTAACATTTTTTGGCATTATGGAGGGAGGGGGTGTGGAGAGGCACAATGTGACGTTCCTTAGGTACCGGCGATGTGCTTTGGGTAGAAAAGGTTGGGAGTAGAATGCGTTTGTGAGGACTTCAACAAAATTGAAGACCCCAAATCCTGTTCAATTTTTGGTTTGACATTGACAAATTTGTCAAAATGAAGAAAAGAATAAAAAAAGTTGACACTAGATTAACGTTTGTGGGCCCCACCTGACATTTAAATTTAATCAATTTTAGTAAGCTCTCAAATCTTCCCTTCTCGGTTTTGAAAAATGAAAATTTTAAATCTTAATATGTAGTTAAAGGCGTCATGACATAATTTGCGTCATTCTGTAAATGTAGCATTTAGTAGGAACCTTACAACCTCAATACTTTGACTTTTTGCCATAGGACAGTTGTTTGAGACAGACAAAAATGGAAACTTGATATTCTATTATGTTTTTGGATGGTTGTATTCCAATCTTGCTTCAATTGTGTAGATTTTTTTTCTGAAATTTGATTTAAACTAGAGCTATTTTTTGTTTGGACTCGTTATTTATCATCAACATAGATGCATGACAACCTGACTATTTTGCACATCTCTTTTCATTTTAATCAGCAGCAACCCAATAGCAGTGTTGGATTAGCCCGGCCCCGGTGAGGGGCTTCGGCCATGCCTGCACCCTGCCAGCATATTCTTGGGTTTGACCCTGTTGCGGCTGCTAGGGCAGCATTCTTGTCCGAACTGGCCAGGGTGCAGGCACAAGCAACCGAGATGCTCTAGGTGGACATTCTTAACCTGCATTACCTACTTTTGTCCATGCTGTATCTCGGTTTAATAGAGCTTCCTTTGGAGCTCATTGGTTATGGCACTGCAAATGGTGGATGAGTTCCCTAGAACTCTGCATTTGCACTGATGATGATGAAAAATATTGGAACAAGAAGAGGAATTATTATAGCTCTGAAAACACGATTCTATGTTGAGCACAGGTATCTTGAACATCTTAATCTGACTTTAATTTTTAGTTCTGGGTTATAATATTGTTATTAAAAAGGGATGCCCATTTTGTGAACTTAGCTTTCTTTATTCTGTTGCAGCACCTGCACATATTAAAAAGCACGATTGACTGAGGAATATGTTGAAGAGTAGGCAGAAATTGCATACTTTGGTGCTTGGCTAACATGTGGTTTGTATGATTGTTACCCGTCTTATAGCAGAAAATTTTCTGTTTCATTTTTATGAATTATATTTGCAAACAGTTTTATTTTTCTTGTTTTAACTCTTATCTATGGCCACTTGAAGAAGTATTTTCTTTGCTGAGTATTCTAATTCTTCAATGATCTGAGGGACTACTCTTATGGTTGCACTTTGATATTTCTTTCTGGTAAGTCTGAAAAATGATGGCTTTACTGTTCTCTTGCTTTGGTCTAGCCTGTTGACGGATGGATGTGCATTTCTCCATAGTTCTGAATGCAGTTATTTCTCTTGTTGACTTTTTGGGGAAGACTATTTGGGCATATTTCTGTTTTTGACGAAAATCTGGACTAATTTCCCAAAAAAAGGTGTATGATAAATAGAGGAGAAGGGTATTATTGTTTAGTACTGAGTATTGTTATGAAATTATGTAATGGAGGAATCATGGAAGGTCTTGAATCGGTTGCTTTTGGTGTTACGAAAATCATTTAATTAATTTTGGAACTGCCCTGAAGAAAATCATTTTTGCTATTCCTTAAAATTCATTTTTTTTTCCCAAATTCATTTTTAACCTTACATTTGGTGGGATTCACAGCTTTTTATCAATTATTCAACAACACATTTAAATCAACTTTTATCAAAATATATTAAAAATCTGATTTTTATCCAAATCAAAGTAGGTTTTAGCAAGTCAAGAGTTCTATTTAGTAAATATATCTTCCAGTAATGTCAGTGTCGTGAGATGGGAAAATTAGTTCAGCAATACGGTCAATGGTTGGCTTAAACATGACGCGACATGTGAACAATTATGTTCGATAGAAGACCGTTCATGTTTCAACCTGTCCCTTCTAGACAAGGCATTTCTTTTCAGAACATGTTTTTACAAGCAACAATATTTCTCAGACATAACTTTTGGCTTATTATAAACGGATTTTCATGCTTTATTTTTTCAGATAAATATTCACAGCAATCTGACTGACCTTTATGCTTGGCCCTGTAACTTCCCAGTGACGTTTTGGCGCAGCAAGAATAATGCTTCCCTTCCCCACCTCAATGTTGGCAATTGCATATGCTGAATCATGTTTATGGTGTCACAATATGCATGTCGCCATGTCTTTGTCATCTTATCTCTTTCCGTGCATATCAACATTCCTACTGCTCCCTGTTTTGTTCCCCAGAAATTCACACCTTTTTTTTTTTTTTTTTTTGGAAATGCAACTTTCACGTGCTACTTGGCCTCAATACAAAACCAAAGCCCTTTATTACGACAAAAAGGGCTTTGCACATAGCTTTTTTTCTGCTCTTTTCGCTTCAAACTTGTGTTCTTCTCGTGTCCATGCTTGTTTCTCAAGTATATCCATCCATTTCTCTCTCTCTCACTCTCTCTCTCTCTCTTTTCGCTTCAAACTTGTGTTCTTCTCGTGTCCATGCTTGTTTCTCAAGTATATCCATCCATTTCTCTCTCTCTCACTCTCTCTCTCTCTCTTTTCGCTTCAAACTTGTGTTCTTCTCGTGTCCATGCTTGTTTCTCAAGTATATCCATCCATTTCTCTCTCTCTCTCTCTCTCAATATTTATATAAAGATTTATCTCACTAAGAAACAATGCATATAAGAACAGTTCCTTCTTGGAACAGTTCCTTCTTGGCCCCCAACATCTCCCTGGACCCTGGTAATTTCTCATAGGTAAGTTGCTTATATTTTTGAGTAACTTGTTTGTTTGGATACGTTATTTTTCTTCACAGTTTGGACCAACAAAGAAGTTAATTATTTTGGAACTTGCTTAAACGGAGTAACCATGTTTCCTGTACGGATGCTTTATTTTCAGGAGCAAATACGATTAGGTCGCCATGGAGAAGCAGAATTCAGAGCTGTACTTGAAGAACTGCCATATTTTTCTTGAAAATGAGAGGCTAAGGAAGAAAGCGCAACGGCTCGACCAGGAGAATCGGGCTTTGTTATCTGAGCTGCAGCACAGACTTTCAGAAGCAAATTCAGCACAAAAAAATGAATTTGGTATCAACACCACACCAAAAAATTCTACGACAGATCGTAGGAAGTCCAACAAGCCTTGATCAACTCATCCCCCGGCCCATGTAATGAATGAGTTTCGTGTAAAATAAGGTTTATCTGTAATGTTTGATTCTTTGAAGTATCCATGATCATGCCTTGAAACTTGTTTGGATAATTTGTGAGACGGAATAATGTAATAAATATTAAATGTTTGTTTTCGTGAATAAACAGAGCTACTAAAATTCGCCATTATCGTGTTCTTTCGAGTCACTTGATCAAAAGATCCCACTACTGCGTGTAAAAAATTAACTAATGAGATAGGGAAGACCTTTTCAGCTTGTGGGCGTGGAAGCCACGGTTAATATAAATCTAGCTTACCATCCATCATAATCTAATAGTCAAAATCCTCGTCTACAAATTAATAAGAAAAATGACACGAAGTGAGACTTTAGCACACAAAATTTAAGGGTGTGTTTGGTTTGCATTTTAATTTTTCGTTTTCAGTTTTGAATTCATTTTCTGTATTGAGGGATTATTTTAAGATTTTAGGAAATACATTCGATTTATCATTCTAAAAAACAGTTTCTCAAGACAAAAAAATTAAAAAAGTGCTTGATATAAAAATTTTAGAAATATTTTTATGACATTTTTTTCAAGGGACGATCAAACAACGCGATTTGAAAACACTATTAAGCAACAGTGTTTGATTCAAGAATAATTCACCATTAACACAAGGGAGTCAATCATCCAACTACTGCCAAGTCTATTCTCATATATTTTTCAAGAAAATCTCCATTAAAAAAACTCTATCCACTAACCTTTTGGCCCCTTTTCCCCATTCTCCGACAATGGTATTGTGCATAAAAGAAGGGAACTCCAATCCTTACATCAAATTTCCATTTTTTTTTTTCATTTTGCCCCAAATATTTGGTGTAATCACATTCCAATCCAATATTAAATTTTGTACCAAAATAGTTAATGTCATTTTTGTCATTCTTTTCCATTTTGCACAATTTTTGTTAAGGGTATTTTTGTCTTTTTCTTGTTATACAATAAATTTAATTATTACAATCATAATTATTATTTTTAATACTATTATTATTATTATTATTATTATTATTATTATTATTATTATTATTATTATTATTATTATAGTTGTGATTTCTCTATTAATTGTACTACGTTCATTAATGAATTCCATATTTGTGTTAACGAAACAGAATTATATATTTAATAATTTATAAAGCAATTGATTAAATAAATAAATAAATAAATTATTAAGAATGAAGAAAATAATTATACATCGTTCATTTGGTGTAACTTTTGATATAATGGGTTAGAGTTGATTTTTAATTTGGTGCAAGATTTGATATAAAATGGTGTAAAACTTACCTCAAATTTTGGTGTAGGTTTGGAGATGATCTAAGAATAATGGCGGACACTCATCGGCAGCAACATGCCATTATGGTTCCATACCCTTACCAAAGACGCATCAATCCCTTTGTATATTTGTCCATGAAATTGGCATCGCAAGGGTTCACAATCACCTTCGTCAATGTTGAATATGTCCATTTTCGAAGTCCAAACGTAGAACAGTATTGAAGACATTTTCACCAAATTGTTCGAATCCGATCTAAATATTCACTACACAACGGTTTTCAATAGCTTCCTAGCGGCCGGACGGAGGATGTCGCCGAAGATGAGAGCAAGCATTTTCAACTTTTAGGGTTGAGGAGAAAAGAAAGAAGATTTTTATCTTTTAATTTTAATTTTAATTTAATTCGAGTGGTTAGAGTATTTTCAACTCTTCAACTGAAAGCACTCAAAACTCAAAAAATCGTTTTGAGTTTTCTCTCATAAATTTTATCTTGTTTTCAAAAATGTATTTTTGAAAATAATATATCAAACGTGTTTTGAGTGTTTTAGGAAATTGAGAGCGAAAAACTATCTGAAAAATGACAAATCGAACGAACTATAAGTTTCCGTATGATTCTTTGTAGGCTTATTATTGAAGAGGTTGCATCTGATTCTCTTCTTCCCTTCTCAAGTAAAATTGTATTTATATTTTCATATTGATAATGTTTAACTGAATATTTTGAAAAGTCTTTTTAAGATTGATTAGTCACATTAATTTTTATTACTTACCTATATTATCTATCTTTAATGAAAACGAATATTTGGCCCCCGTTTGGTTTCACTAAAAGGATGAATTAAAATTCAATTTAAAGTTTTAATGAAATAGAATTCACAAATTTTCAATCCATCAACTTTTATCAAAATTTACTTATACTTTATTTATTTTTTTAATCTAAACCAAATGGGGGACTTTATTTTTTTGAGGATTGTGAATTGAATGAAATTTGTGTGTGGTTGAGGTTCAGGTTGTACAGAAACACTGTCCACCAAATAGCGGCTCGTACAACTCACCCAGGCGCAGGTCATTGTAAAAAAGTGCACCGTCTTCGTGTGCACCCAAAATGGCGGGAACGCTCCAAACCCTAAGTATCCGCCCTCCGGTCGCCGGTGCTCCGCCGTTCCGTCTACTTAATCCAATATTTCCGTCGATTGCGTTCCCCTTTTCAGGTCACAAGGCCCGTAATTCATGTTTTCTTTGGAAACGCAGCCCCATTTCAACAATTCCAATTATCAAAGCCAGTGCACAATCCCATCAGGTTCACTTTCTTCCATCTACCCCCTCTTTATTTAAAGAAATTTGTTATTTTTTTGGTTTTGCAAGCTCTGAGCAGAATTTCTGGTGTGTTTAGGGAAGTGGCGATGATAAAAATGAACTCTCACCAATTTTGAGTTCCGGAAGACCTTCAAATTGGACAAAACCATTGATGAATTTTGCATCTAATAACTTTCTCCCATTAGGTATCTTGGCGATGCGCACGCTCTCTTAAATAAATGCAAAATCTTCTGTTTGAAACAGTACCTGTCTGATGATTTCATTGCATTTATTAAGTTGCTTTTTGAAAAATGAAGATATCTGATGTTCAAAATTGAGCCTTTTTATTAGAATCTGGATTGGATGAATAAATATGTGGACTGTTAAAGAGGATCATTTGAATAAATTTTTTTACAAGCGAACCATCTATCATCAGTTAAAACTCTTCTACAATCATCACAAGTTGTTTAGAAAATCACTTCCTTATACTATAGCTGGAGAACATGCTAAAGAGGACTCTCATAGTCACACCACTTTTTCCTTCCTTTTTATTTTTATTTTTTATTTTTTTGGTAGTAACAAACAACCTACTTAGAATAATAATGTCTAAAAATTAACTTCGTGTTATTCACAATCCTTCATGATAGTTTTAATCATTAATTTCTTAAGTTTTAAATTTAAATTCCATTTCCTGTGATGCGCTCAACTTGTGTGTCCAGATTATCAGTCTGAAGCACGTTCTTCTCCCTTCAAACTTTCAGTATAAACCTTTAACTATTGTTTCCTTAAACTAAGAGAATTAGATGGCAAGAGACAAACAAGGGAAGATAGAAGGATTATGACTATCAAATAATTGATAACTGGTTTGAGAGAATCACCTTTTAATGCAAAGGCGCGCGCGCACACACACACACACACACACACACACACACATATATATATATATACACACACACACACACACACACACACACACAGACATTGCCCAACCAGAAGATCATTTACTTGCATTATTTTGATGTATATGAAGATTTTTGAAACATGGATTAAGTTGTGCATATGCAATGCTACATTTTTTGTACTAGTGGTAGGTTGGAAGTTAACAGTACCTCATTACTGTGGTGATAGAGTTTAAATTTTTAGTGGTTTGTCAGCATTGTCAACATGATGGGAGACATGTGAGTAAGATACATAATAGATTTGCTTATGGCATTCATGGCACCAAGTTGTGTAGAGCTTCCATGCAATAGCTTTGCAATATTCTTTCAGTTTGGTTTCCATTGTCCCTAAACTTTATTCTGTTTTCTGTGGACGGTTTTAATGTGGTGATAGAGTTTAAATTATTAGTGGTCTGACAATATTGCCAATACGATAGGAGACATGGGGGCAAGATGCGTAATAGATTGGCATATGTTATTCATGAACCCAAGTTGTGTAGAGCTTCATTTCAATGGTTCTCAATATTCTTTCAGTTTGGTCACCATTTTCCCTAAGTTTGTTGGGTTCTGTTTTCTGCTGATGATTTAACCTTGCAATATTGTATCAGTGGTTAAAATATTGGCATAATATTTTATGCAGCTCTTGTCTGTGGAGTAGCATTTGGACTTTCAAATCCTGGCCTTGGTTGTCTTGCTGACAGATATGGATTGTCTAAATTTAGCACTTTTGGAATATTTATCATTTCAGGTAAGGTTGTCTCTGATTTGGCAGTTTCTACATTGACCACGTCTAAATTTGTTTTCTTGCCTATAAATATTTACTGTTACCCATTTTTGCCGTTGTTTTACTATCCTCGACATACTTGATATCTTCTCTTGCCTTTCTATTATACAGGATTGACATTGCGCAGTGATGAAGTTGGTGCTGCTGCGGAAGCATGGCCAGTTGGACTTTTTGGGCTTGTACGTTGTCAAATTCTTATGTGCCAGTATAGTTTAAGTGCTGCCATTCTTCATTTTTTCTTCATCTTCTTGTTCACTGTACTGATTTTCTTGGATAGAAGTTTCTTTTGATATCTTTTGGTCTCCAGTTTATTCTCTCTTTTTAGGGTGGGAGATAATAAGGTGTTCAAAAGGTCAATATGCTATTAGGAACCTAAAATGCAATTCGCAACAGTAATAGTACTCATGGTGTAAAGTATCCCAATTGAGTTATGCCTCAGAGGGAGGCGTCTAAAAAATGCTTCATGGCACTAATATTGAGGCAATTTTGGAGGCATTCACCTTAACTGAGTGAGGTCTATGCCTCATTGCACCACCTCAAGGCTTGTGATGTGTGTTCTCTCTTTTTTTTTTTTTTTCATGACTTATTTACTTTGCTGTAGGTGTGGGCCCGGAAAACATTAAAAATCCTGATGGACCCACTTTGAGGATAACCGACTGTCCCATTAAAACATTACAAAATTGTGTTTCTCATATATTCACTGGGAATAGTCCATTGCCCTCACCAACTAAAGTAGTAATACTTCAAAGATTTTCTTTTGTTTGTTTGCACACTTAAAATTGTTCTATTATGAATTATTTAAATTGTTTATGATTTAATATGCGTTTATTTTTCATTTTAATAGTTTTTTTTATTTTTTCAAAACGCCTTGAGGCTTACACCTCGCCCAACGATGGAAAAACGCATTAGTACCCGATTACACCATTTTAAACACTGATAGTACTTTATGCATTGCTACATGCAGTTATGTCACCGTGTGCTTTGACTACCAGTTAATATCATTAAGGATGGTATCATTAGAAAATTCCAATTCCTTTATATGATGATGTGAATAATATGTTTGTTTCTGTTTGTCTGCATCTTTTATAAATGTTAGTATCTGGTTCAGCTCTTCTGTTTTTAATTTTTTGTTCTGAAATATATGTTTTTTTATGTGATTTCTCACTTTATTTTTTGATGATTGACAGTCTTTCTTTTACCTGTCTTGTGTTGCAGGGTTCAATTTTAATATTCACCCCCTTATTTTCGAAGATTATTTTGCTACTTAAGCTCCAGCCACAAGAGCTTGTCACAGGTTAGAAATTGGATTTGCTTTGACGATGTAAGTGGCATTTGGACCAGCTGCCTTTAATTTCAAGATTAGAGAATTCTGAAGGATCATTAGGTGTTGGTGGGGAGGTGATGCTTTTGAAGCTTCCTAAACTCGAAAGATGCTTAAGTTAAGCCCTGTTTGAGCCCCATTCTTTCAAACTCATTTTCAACCACACATTCTCCCAATAAAATAATTTTGCACATAAACTCAAATTTGTTCCTTATTTTTTATCCATATTCTTAAAAAATTCATTTTTTACAAAATCTATGGTTGAAAAATGGAGCTCAAACACGGACCAAAGAGACGGGGCGCAAAGCCTTTCAAGTATCCTACAAAGAATTCCATAGAGATTTTGTTGCCTAGTCATTAGCACCTAACCTGCCCCAATATGCTTCTTAGCTGCATGCATATATTGAGCTGGTGAAATGTTGAATCATACAAACTATTATAGTAACCCTGGTAACTACTGATACCAATTAACTTTATTTATTGCTACCATAGAAAAATAAAGCTGTTGGAATTTCTTCTTCTTGTAGTGCTTATTAATTTCACTACTTTGCTTGCATGTTACCTTTCCATTTATTGGGTTTTTAATTTTTAAAATCCTGATAAATATTGTTGACGACAACATTTATCTTGTTGACTCAACTGGAGAGGTGCCCTCAATCCCATTGCCACTTCTTATTAAGGAAATTTATGATATTGTTTTTGATGTGGTCATGTTGGATATACTTTAACCAGAGAAAGATTCCAATGCCCACAATTGACATGCACCCCTAAAGAATGAAGAAAGAGAAAGAAGAGAATATTGGAGCCCCCCTATTTTATTATTTTATTATTATTTTTTTAATTCCTTGTTTCTTTAAATTGCTCTTCTGTATGGGATGGGCTGAGAGGATCTAGATGACTTTTATGCTTTTTTTATACTTTTTTTTTGATTACTGTTTTGAGACTTTTGGTTTTTACAGGACTTGCCATATTTAGCTGTATGCCGACAACATTATCTAGTGGAGTGGCACTGACTCGGGTACGTTGAACGTCAACATGAATTTTCCAAAGGTATGCTTTAATTTATTTCTCGGGCCAGAGAGAAAAGTTTTCTGTGAGTTTGACTGCAGGTTTAATTTGGTAAAACGCAGCTAGCTGGAGGGAATTCTGCCCTTGCCCTTGCAATGACTCTGATATCCAATCTGTTAGGAATTCTAATTGTAAGTTCTGAAGCCAAAGATTGTTCATACTTCTGCTTGCTTAAAATTGACACCATACACGTTACATTCTGTCATAAGTTTGACTTTTTGATCATTTAGATATCAGCCGATCTGTTTCACTACTGTGACATGTTATGTGGAGTATAGATCTCCATGCCCATGGGTAGAGTCTAGAGAAGACAATGCAAGATATTAATCATTGAATCAGAAATAATGTTTTTCCATTGGAAATTTTGATTGAAAATAATGTTTAATATTTCCATTCTGTTAATGGACATCTTCTCAGAGAAAAGATCTGGTATTTGGTTCATCTAGAAGGATTTAATTATGTCCACATATTTCTGGGTGTGCCCTTGTTATTAGTCGACTTTGTCATGTGTGTTGGGATGTCTAGTTCACTGTTATCAATTGTTCTTTCGCTGTGCATGCAAGCCACATTTCTGTCTGTATTTACTTGTTTATGACCAGAATAATCTCTGTCATACTACCTTTCAAACAAAAAAAAAAAAAAAAAAAAAAAAAAAATTCTCTGTCAGACAGTAGGATAAATATTTGCACCTGTTGAACTGATGCAATTCTAACAATTACATGGTACCATGGTACAAGTATGATTGTGCTACCTTTCCTGTTTTTTGGTTACACAGTCAGATCTACTGCATTTAACAGTGGCCTTTTTCACTTTAAGCTAGATAAGCATGGACATGCTCATTCTTTGTGCGCCCCTCTCTGTTTTCCAGAGTGGATCTCAATTACATTGACTGTCTGTTTTATATTTTACTGCTCCTTAGAATGGTTATGATGACAAATTTTTTTAATATTATTTGCGAAGTGACTATTGCATATTCACATGTTAGATACCTTTCTCTATCTCAAAATTCATAGCTGCTGGAGTCGGTGTATCAGTTCCAACTGAGCAGTTGTTCAGAAGCCTTGTTCTGACACTTTTGGTTCCACTTATTTTGGGAAAGGTCAACATCTATCCTCTTAAAACTATTATATGCAATGTGCAACTCTTCATTGTCTTTGGTTTAAAATAGCATAGAAATCTTGCACTGCCATTTTTTTGCCTTTTTAAGTATTAATATACAAATAATGCATTACAAACAGGGAAAGTATCTTTCTATATAGGACATAAGATGTCCTGAGTTTGAAAGGTAAAAGAAACACTTCATGAATGAAAAAAGTGTTTTCGAGCTATATCAAAGACCCATAAGTGAAAATCAAGACCAGGTACCCAAAATCTTAGATCAAAGATGTTACCCAATAATGAGTTAAGTCTTTTATGGTTTTCTGTTTGTAGCTAGAAGTTAGTTTCATTTTTTTCTTTTCTTTTAGTTCTTTCTTTCTTTCCTTTTTTTTTTTTTTTTTTTTTTTTTTTTTTTTTTTTTTTTGAGCTACTATTTTTCTCTGGAAAACTGAATCTATATAGTACTACTACGAAAAATATTATTATGTGACAATACCTTCTTGTTTTCGTTGTCCATATGATACCATTTAAATGTATCTTCTCATTGAGAGTTGTTACTCTCTGAAAAAGTTACACTTGCTGTGATGTGTTCACAAATAAATATAATTTCTTCAGTTATCTGTCAAAATATACGGACCTTCAGTATTCATCTCTTTCTTATTTTGGAAGATATAGAAAGGAATGTCCTGTATAATTCTGGTTATCTAGACTCCCTTCAATGTTTTAGTTTGTTGTACTTTAGTCCTCAATTGACAATTTTCATTGATGTTTAAGAAAACTGCATCACCCTACTCTTGCTATTAACTCCATTTGCCATTACTCTTCCCCATCTTATTCTTGGTTTGATGCCCCCTTGAGTCTCTTACATCTCATGTTTGATTCTGGTTGGTATGTAGCAGAAAACAATATAGTATATTACTTTCTAGTCAGCACTTTAAATCTATGAGAATATGTAGCAAAAATGTTAAATGATTTTAAAAAATGTTTACACTGTATTCTATTATCTATTTTCGTTGTCTGAGGCGGAAGGTTTTTTTATCTGTTGAACTTAGTCAGATGTGCGGCGTAACTCAAGAGATCTACTTTTTAAATTTTTCTTCTCCTAGCGGAGCTAGCTTTAATGTTAGATAAGTTATGTTGCTGAATCATCTGACACAAATCCTTGCGTTTGAAGAGATACCTTTAGCGAGAAAATGGTATATTTTTTATAGCTTTAAAATTTTTTCGTTTGCAATCACTTATCTGTTTCCCTCTCAATTGACAGGTTGCACGAGAACTCTCTAAAGGTGAAACTTTTCAGATTCCTTTCATGATGATTAAACCACTGTTTTGGCAACCAATTTAAAAACCATTTATAAATTCAGTCAAAGTCACATTTATTTCAACCACACATTCATATGTACTACTAATTTATTGCCACACATTTTGTGGGATGCACTACTATTCATCTTACTATTTCTATTTATAAATTTGCCAAATGGACACTTCTGTGGATTTCTTTATCTCCATTTTCCTTATTATCTGTGACCCACTTTATAACATGTCCCTTACATTTAAGGATTTTTCGGGTCATTAAAATATCTGTATATTGAATTAGGTCTGTGGATGTGATGGATTACTATACAGATTGTAATGGAGATCACAATAGGAATAAAGAGAGTTATAGTTTAAATAGAAGTTTTAAATTAAGTTTAATTCTGATTAGATTAGATTTGTTATTTTGATACAATTACAGTTTATTAGGATTTTGTTTCCTTTTTAGTTTCTTGCTTTATAAATAAAGGGGCTTCTTCATTGTAATACACAACTAGAATGTATGAATAAACATTGATTTTTCTCTTGCCCTCAATTCTTCTCTTCTTTGCACCCCTTTCTTTTCTAGTTCCTAATTGTTCGTTAACAAGTTATATGCATCCTACGTCAGATTGCATTAAGGACTTGCCAAAAATATGAACGTATTTTACGTGTAAAAATAACAAATGTATTTTTATTTATTTGTTCTATTTTGATTTGTTTTCTTACCCTAATTATTAGTTTTCAGTTAGGAAAATTTTCCATTTTGATATATTGGCAAATCATATTTTATCAGGAATCTTAATTCTTAAGCATGAACGAGACTTGTATTTCTAAATAAACTAGACAATTGATTTAAGACTTACAGTATAATTGAAATTTCATGCAATCATAACTAATCACTTGGCAAAAGAAGACGAGATGATAGTGCTTTCTACTCTCACTTATGTCTCCAGTGTACATTTCAGGGTTGGCAGACTTTGCGGATAGAAATCGTAAGCTTCTGGCTGTGCTCTCTGCAATCCTCCTGAGTTTGGTAAGTCCCAGTTGTGGCTTTGTTGTCCCACCATCTCATTCTCATTTGTAATTTTACTCAAAAGAACTATAGATATGTATCCTATCTGTATCACATCAGATGTATATACTAAATTCAATTTATTTGGGTGGGATCCAAGCCTTCAGGACCACTTGAAGGTACCTACCAGGTGCGTGTTGGAATGATGATTTGGAGGACAAGCTTGTGGCTCTGTAAGTGGGGGTATTAGACCACATTTGTGGTAGTAATGCTGCTAGGGGTATGGTGCTCTGCCTATCCCAGCCTTCTGAGGCTAGTCTCACTTTACACACTCTAGAACATACAACATACTGAGTGCTAGAACACATTAAATGCGTGAACAGAACACAACATGCTGAGAACATGAGGTGTGGATACTGGATAGTCTCATCTTTTGTGAATTTTATCTAAATGGTCACTTCAAAATAAACAAAATTAGCAATTACAGGTCAAAGATGAGGTAGATGTACACTTACACATAGACAGAATCAAGCAAGTGATAGATGATACTATGATGGGATTAGAAGCGGAGGATCTGTTGAGAGAAATCCCGGAAAGAAATAAGAAAGAAAGGCATGAAAAGTGCACTCACAAGAGAAGATCGGCCTCGAGGAATGAAAAGAAAAGGAATGTAGTTTGATAATGTGCAAATGGAGGACGATGTGTAGCAAGGAGGAAACTAGTTGGAGTGAGGGAAATGATTGCTGGAAGAAAGAGTGTGGACACATTGGAGAACGACAAACAAGTTACAACACCACCCACTATTTCTATTCCACCGAGAGTAATCAATTGAAAAAATGAAAAATAAAACTCAAGAACACAAAAGATTTATAAAAGTTTGTCTCAATGTGAGAATACGTCTTCTCTCGCTGCTGCAGTAATTTACTATAATGAAAAAATGTTTACAAGAGAAAATTGCACTTTTATCTTCTCTAGCCTCTCTGTCTCCCCTTTTGATGATAATAAAAAAGCCTAAAGACGGTTTCCTATTTATAAGATAAATTAGGGCAAAACCGAATTATACAAGGACTCTAATTCCTTAATAGAATTTTAGAAGAACACAAATTTATAAACAGTTTAGCTCCTATTTGAGTTGCGAAGTGACAACAGTTACTCTTCACTACCTTATATTTACCTCCTATTTGAGCCTTTTAAAACTCATTTTTAACCACACATTGTCTCAGTACGCACGTGAACCTAAAACTTTTCCCTATTCTTTTAACTTCATATTCTCCACAAAAATCTCTTTTTACAAAATCCATTCTCAAAAAATGGGGCTCAATCAGGGGCTTAATTACAATTGCAGCACGATCAGATTGAATATGTCCATGTGCATATTAAGAAATCCATTTTTCTAACAATTAGCTACTCTGATCACAAGTGAAGATTTAAATTTTTGTCTTACTGTTTCTTAATGGATGATCATTATATGTTTTCTGGCTGTGGATATAGCTGAAAACACTTCTGTTTACTTTTTCGAAATTTCACATAAATGTTTTTTACCTGTGTTGCTATAAAGCAACAAATTATATTCAGATATTTTGGAGAAGTGCTTTGTTTTAAGTTTATGCATCCAAGATCAAATTGTCTTTTTCTTTGTAAGCCATTTTTTTTTTTTCCGAATCTTTGCTTTGCTCAGGTCCCATGGATGCAAGTCAGTAGATCAAGGTCACTGCTCTTAATGGTTAAGCCAGCAGTTTTTCTTGCAGCCATTGGAATGGGATCGTATGTTCTTTTGCTGCAGCTTTGCTGTCTTGATTTTTTGCCACATTGAATTTTGGCATCTATTGATCCTTTTAGCATACTTGCAGTTGGAGTGCGTTGTTAAAATTCTACATACATTACAGATTGTGTAGGTCCTTTAAGCATACTTGCAGTTGGAGGGCGTTATACTCTCTCTCTCTCTCTCTTTTATATATATATAGTTGTGCTACGTGAACACAATAGTGTACACAAAACATTACACGCCCCTCACATGGAGGGGGGCCCACACACAATAAAATGTTTGTGTGCCCCCCTCCATGTGAGGGGGGTTGTAATCTATTGTGTACACATAAAATGCTTAAATCATTGCAAGGATTATTGTTTGTTCAAAATTCATAATTAGCTACATGGGGTGAGCAATGATAGAAGTCTCTTTTGTACTCAAATCTTTATTCTCTGTATGGAGGAGCATCAGCTTATGGCTATGTCATTTGAAAGGTTTTTTTTACCTCTTCCTTTCTTTCATGATATTGGACCCAAATTTTACGAGAGGTTTATAATTGACACGGGTTTTATTATCTGCTGTTGATTCCCCATCTTTGTATTTTGTGGTGGCTTATTTAATTCAGATTGATGCAAGCCTTGTTATGCCATTAGAAGCTATCAACTTGCATGCATCTTTCGTATATTCAATTTAGCATTGTGAGTGAAACCTAAGGTCTATGTTAGTTGATTAGTATAAATAATCTAGACCACATTCTCCAACATTTCTGGAAGCTTTAGTGGAGCTGCATCAACTGATAAGATTATATTTCTTTTTCAGGCTTCTACATGCTATCCTTTTAGCTTTTAATGCTCTGGCGATTCAAAGCATTACCATCGTTACTGGTGGTAGGAAATCCGCTTTTGCAAAGAGAGAAAACGCCAGTGCTCTTCTACTAGTTGCAAGCCAGGTGACATGCTTGACTAGGGTCATTCATACTCTAATTTTTAACGTCATGATATGCATCACTTTGTCACTCCAAAAGTTTCAGGGATAAAATTAGATTTCACTCCTATTATAAATTAATAAACCATATATAAGAGTAATATCGGTGTAAAAAATAACGAATCGGGGCTATGGCATGCATGGTTAATTTTTTTTGGTGTTATTCATTGATTATATATGTTCTGCCGCATGCTTTTGTAGAAAACATTGCCCGTGATGGTCGCTGTAGTTGAGCAGCTTGGTGGTGCTTTTGGTGAATCTGGTTTGTTGGTTCTTCCATGTGTAGCAGCCCATTTGAACCAGGTCAGCTGCAATTTTTCTGGTCTTCTATGGTTCACGTCAAGGCTTTTTCTATTAACTGACTGAAATTATTTTTCGTGCAGATTATCATGGACTCCTTTTTAGTGAGTTTTTGGAATCAAAAGGAGCATCCATTTGACAATGCCAAGATCGCGTGAAATTTGCTCTAGACAATCGTCATCAATAGATGCCATTGCTGCTACTTGTCCTTCTAACTTCAGAAAAGAAGAGGTTGATTGAGAGTAGGATCTTTTCATTATTATGAGCATAGGGAAAACACTAAAGATTCATGAATATAAGCAGAACCCTTTACATGTTTGTGATTTGTAAAAAGATAGCTATGGTTCATTAACGCACAAAGTTGCACAATCTTGTGATTTTTTGGCTTGGAATCTCTCTATAACTTGGCCAGATTCGATGAATAATTATGACATTTCACTTTTTTGGAAAGAAATTTTTATTTTCGATTGCTGGATTAGTTGTTTTACAGTTGATGTCTACTGTGAATTGAGACTTTTTTTTTTCCTTCTTTCTTAATTATGTTTAGATTACTTAAACTTGATGATAAACATGTTATTATAGTTCAATCGGTCGATAAAATCAATCATGTGTAGAACCTTTTTAATCGAGTAATGTAAAATATGAGGTCATGATTTTTATGTTGCTGCTTAATTCATTTACATGTTCTAAATTTTACAAAATTAGTGCATATGTGAAAAGTGAATATAAATATGTGAATAAAAAGTGATTTGAGGACGGTATAATTTGGTCCCTACCCTAAGCAATAAACATTGTCAATTTGGCATCTAAACAATTATGTCACAAAGTCTGCTTCGTGGAGTATAGTTCAGTAGTGTAAATGACAGGAGTGAGGTTATTTCACACCTTGTTAGCAGCCGAAGTGTGGGGATTCGATTTCTGAGATATGAAATTGGATTTCTTGTAGGCGTAGTATACATGCAACTCTTGTTCCCTGACATGTTGGGGCATATCCGACGATTTATCCCCCTTACAAAACTCTAAGGGCGAGGTAGGTGGGAGCCCTCAAGATTGAGGTTCAACCTTTAACTATGGTAAAAAGTCAACTGCTCCCCCACCTATAAAATTACACATTTTATTTTACCTACTTACCTATATATACAACTAACATCTATATTCATAGACCATACATTAATATAATTTTTTTTTTAGTTAAAAGTCAAATATATTTCTAGCCTAAAAATTTTATTAAACATGATCATGTAATAACGCAAACTATGTACACTGCCTTTTAATTAAAATGTCTCTTTAAGACAATTCAACGAGATTCTCGATAATATAGAATTTATTATCTATGTTGACTAAAAAAATTATGATGTTTAGATAGATTAAAAATTCACATTAACTTGCTTAATTTGTTGAGAATGCTTGGTGACAAGTGTTCTTTTACCCGACAGAGAAGGTTATATTCATTTGTGACACAGTATAGATTGTAATATACTTTGTGACTCTCTATGTTTCTTGGATTACATTCATTTCAAGACTTAATTGCCCTTGTGAAGCTGTACAACCTAGTCCATTAAGTGAATATTGGCCGATGCCAATTGCACCCCTCGTGCTGCTAACTTGAGATAAAGCGCTACATTCTACTGATATGAGGATTTGTAAAATAAAAATTATTTATAAAATTAATTATTAATTTTTAAAGTAAAAGTAAGGAGATAGTAGCATAACAAAACATGTTTAAATTAGTCAAAAAGTTGATACGATTTCTAGATTTAAAATTTTTAAAATACTTAATAATATTTTAAAAAAAATTGTGTCAACGTGTCATTACAAAAGAAGTCTTGCGTATAGAGCTTATTTGGGTGGGTTTTTAATAAGCAAATAGGTATGATGGTGACATGCTCGGAGCTAGTTTGATACTATTTTTTAAAATAAATTTTGTAAAAAGTGATTTATTATTATTATTTTTTTAAAATGTATTATTAGAAAGTAAGAAAAAGTTATTTTATTGAAAAAATGTGTTGCTTGAAAGAATTAGTTTTAAAGAATTTCTGTTTGCCAAGAAGAGTAAGCTTTAGTGCATAGTACTTAGCCCCCGTTTGGCCCTCATTTTTTAAAAATGAATATGGGCAGAATAATATTTTTTTGAAAAATGAGTGGTTGAAAAAGAATGAAAAATTTTATATTTATGTGTAATATTATTTTATTAAAAATTGTATGATTAAAAATAGGAGAGAAAAAAATGAAATGTAATGTAATGAAATATAGGGGCCAAATGGGGGCTTCAATAATTGTTTGAAGAGTAGCTTCTCGGCCCGACAATGACTACTTACTTGCCATTTGGGAGATTTGACTAAACTTTTTGACTTCCCAATTTCACGCCCATTCCATTTTCTCCACATTCTAGATGCCGTCTATGGGCCCCACAAAGAAAGTATGAAATGATTCCTGACAATTCTTCATGCAAATTGACAGTGGGCATTGAATGGAACCTTAGCTTCTTTGCCTTGTCACCGAAATGCCATTGAAGAATGGTCAACATTGTCGGCCACGTATGTATGTCGTCTCCATTTCACAAATTCCCGAAATTGAATGCAAAACTCATTTTAAAAGGGGAGACGATAATTTTATTCATACGGATACAAATTGGTACATAAAACGTTTTTTTTTTTGGACAACTTCTTACTGACGTCGACTAATAAAATACAGAAACAAATGCTACATAATGCAAATAACGTAACACAAAAACAAAAACGCACGCGGCAGAAATTTTTCTTCTCGTCCCCATCGCTTAGTCGCTCCTAATGTAGAGCCTTTGCCATGTAATCGCGCAGCTGTTGCCATGACATTTCCTCCGTTCCTATTGCGTCGAGTTCGGCGACAATTTCATCCTGTTCATTGGGAAGGTTGATCTCAACTTCGTCATCGTCCACTTCTCCCGCTCTACGAAAACCCTCGTCTAGCCGATTGTTTCTTCTAAGAAAATTATAAATTTCCATTGTGGCCACGACAACAGCAATTTGCGCTCTCATACTGTAAGCTGACATTCTATCTAGAATCTTCCATCGCTGCTTTCAAACACCAAATGCCATTCGATAATATTTCGACATGAAGAATGGTGGAAATTAAATTGCTCGTGTGCATTTCGAAAACGACGGCGCTGTCCACTCGCAGAGCTCCCGAACTCTTGGAAATGATATCTAATGTCGGAGCCCTCGTACGGTGCCATGTAGGGCTTATGTGCAAACCCTGAGTCCACAAGGTAATATTTCCCGTTCACTAGTTGCGGGAAATTTATTTCTCCACTATGCATAGCTCAGGTCAATATGCGACTATCATGTGTGTTTCCCGTTGTTCCGGCACGAACGTAAAACATAGGTTAAAATCACACACATTCAATATGTTCTGCGTCAGAATACCCTTTCTTCCTATGAAATGTTCCCACATGTGACTCGACAACACAGCTCTGGCGTACGTCCTGTCAATTTAACACATTTTTGTTAGTTATCATCACGTTCATAATTCACATGGTGGGAACCGTAACCAAGATTAGGTTTCATGAGCAGTCCGGATCGGGCCGATGGTAGGCAGCACTTTCGTTGTATGCCGGATCTAGTTTTACCATAGTCACGACGAATGCTAGGCATGCACGGAGCATTGTCTTAAAATAGTGCACAATGGTCTGCAGCGAGTGACCGAATAGAGTTTGCACTTGCCGATATCCTTTTCCGTGTGCCAGTACGCAAAAAAACATTCCAACTTGCTTGTACACGTCAATATTCGCACTGCTCGATATGCTGTATTGGTCATGAAGAATGTGCGTGAAATGCATGAACATCGATGGATACATCCTAAATTCTTGAAAACATGTTTGCGGATATACATGCATATTTTGCAGCATGAAAATGTGGCCACACAACGTAGTCGGGAATAGATATCGACGTGCTCCATTCGGTGCCATGTACTCATGAACAGCACGATCCGCAACTCGACAATATTCAAGCCACGTGTTAATGTCCTCCTCTAGCTGGTAAATCACGTCTTCGTCAAAAGTCCGCTCGTCGTCGGACATGGAATCAATGTCACAATCTGTTTCCGAACCCGAGAAAATGCCTGAGTTGTTTGACATCGCCTTCAATAACTTTGACTATAGAAAGGCTGAATGTATAGCGTTGGAATAATCTTGTGTGTATGGAAGTAAGATTCGGCCTGCATTTGAATTCATTTGCGTCCATAATTTATAGATTGCATATGATAATAATGATGGGCCATTTGAAACAAGTATTGTGAAAGTTTTTCTATACTATTTTGACTACCTGAAGACTCCATGCAAGTTGCAGGGAATATATTCCCTTCCAAGTGAAAATCCCTTTCTGTGTATGGAAGTACAATCCAGCCCGCATTTGAATTCGTTTGCATATTCATTTTATAGATTGCATATGATAATAATGATGCCCCATTTGAAGACAAGTACTGTGAAAATTGCAGGGAATATATTCAATTTATTGATTGCATATGACAGTAATGATGGGCCATTTGAAGCAAGTATTGTGAAAGTGTTTTCTATATAATTTGGAGTGCTTGAAGACTCAGTGCAAGTACCAGGGAATATATGCGCTTCAAAGTGAAAATCAGCATTTCCATTTGATTTAGGGGTTGTTTGAGCTCCATTTTCTCAAAAAAACAAAAAAACAAAAAAACAAAAAAGCATTTTTAAATAGTCTTATAATTGAGAATGTCCAGTTAAAAAACAAATATAAGTTTTGGATTTGCCTGTAATACTATTTTATTAAAAAATGTAGGGTTGAAATAATATCAAATCACTGTTGAACAATATATTTTGATGAAAAAAAGGGCTCAAACAAGGGCTTATGTTCGAGCACAGACAACGGGGAATAAAATAATGCCAGCAAAACCCAAATTGTGGTACAGTGGTATGATTTTTCCTGTTTGGCCCCTAATTTCCATTTAGTTTTTCTGTCGTATTTTAAACCACAGAAACTTCGTTATAACAATATTACATGTAAGTCGCAAAGTTTTGCCTCTACGTCGACCGCTCAACTACAAAAATAAATTAGTATTCTTCCCATTTACGTTTTGAAAAACTTGGGGGCCAAACAGGGTCATTTATGTTGTTTTAGTGTATAATAGTCTTTGGCGTTGCCATCATTAATTCAAACATGGTGCATGACATTCTTTCGAAGAACGTTACGATTTAGGCAACAAAAAAATACATCGTTTCCAATGTAATAAAATGTTATGTCACTAATTTCTGTAAGCAAGCACGACAAGCGAAATGTTTTTTGCATTCAACGGATTGTTAATATGTACAGCATAGAGTAAAATCACTACAGTTAGACCAGGTTCAATTGGGAATACAAAAATATCCAGTGCAATTATGTTACAACTCTACCGCTTGCATAAAACGGGGAACAAATATCCGTAACGTAAACGACAAAATAACAACAATACACACCACCACATCGTATGCAT